TTACTAATGATTTATACAATGTTAATAGAATCCTTGGATCAGCACCCCAATATGTGCCTGTTAAAGATTTTAAAACATTACAAGCATTTAAAGCTCGAGATTCTAGAGTTTCAGTATACTTATTCCATCTAAAATTGTTTGTGAAAATAACACTTAAAAACTTTACAGAGCTCTCTACAGACATTACATTATTATTGAACAAAATATTTATATTCCCATTTCTAATTCCATTTTTTGAAAAGACAACAACTTTACTTTTTTCTTGCTGACCTCCAGCCCAAGGCTATCAAAATAGTTCTTTAGTCTTTGGAGAGCAACATTGAGGACTGATTGTACACGTAAAAAATTAGTATCAGAGCAATAAACAACTAAATCATCTGCAAACTGCGGATTAGAAACTTCACACCCCAGAGCTAAATTTAGCTGATGTATGAATAGGATAAAAAGCAATGGGCTCAATACACCCCTGCAAGAATATCTTGGACCTAATAACTGATTGTTAACCTTAACAAACACCTTTCTGTAGTTCAAAGAATTAAAAATCCAATTTACAACTTTTCCAGGTACCTGTAGTAATAATAATATTGAGGATAATTTGTTGAGATCTACATTATTGAAAGCCCCTACAATATCAAGAAAAACACCAACTAGTACTTTATTCTCGGAACAAGTATCTTGGAAATCCAGACAGAAATGATGTAGACTCTCACAAGCAGAACGACCACAACGAAAGCCAAACTGATTGTAAGGTAAAGATTATTACTTTCTATGTGAAAAATTAATCTCTGTTTTATTAATTGTTCGAAAATTTATCCAACACATGAACTCAGTGTAATAGGACGATAAGAATCAGCCAAATTAAAGTCTTTGCCAGGTTTTAATATTGGTACCAAACAGTTGACTTTCCAATCCTCTGGGATAATAGAAGACGACCATAAACTATTTAATAAATTTAAAAAATTAGATAGAGTTTGAACATTCTGAAGAAAACCAATCCAGGCCACATGAAGAATCTTTTCTTGAGGCTAAAGCAGATTTTATCTCTTGCATAGTAAAACAACTGATCATGTATGAATTATCACTATTTACTCCAAGAACATTATCTATACTTATCTGTTGTGAAACAGTATCTGGTGTGTATTTATATAAAAATGTTTGAACCCAACTGAGGTCAGAAAATAAGTTAGAACTCGGAAAGCTTTTTTTGAATTTTCTTATTTTAGTCCAAATGCGATTTATAGATATCAAACGATTTATTAATGAGCAGAATTCAGACCAACTTTTACAACGTTCTTCTTCTAAAGTGCGTTTTTTAAAGTCTTGTGCGTGTTTGAAATTAATGTAATTTTTATCTTCTACTACTTTTGAACATTTATCATTCCACCAAGGTACTTGACACCTTTTTCTAGGACGGTTATTATTACTATCAGTTGTGTTATGGTTTAAGCTGGGCCCGGAGAATTTGATTGCCAATAGAATAATTGCATAAAACTTTCTGTATGAGTCAAGGAGATCACTATTGTCAACTTTAAAGTTCATTAACATTTTATTAACAATTTGTTCATAACTATCTCTATTTACTAATTTCAGATTGCTGTGAAAATGAATGTTGTTCAAGGAAACAGAGGGTTCATGTTGATCTCTTACGAGAGTAAATTTTGTGATAGTTGGAAGATGATAACTGCCTAAAGGGTCCTGATGAACTTGCCAGTCACAAGAAAGAAATAAAGAAGAAGACACCATAGTTAAATCTAGACTGTTTAGTTTCCAAATATGAGAGCCTATAGTTGTTGGTTGACCATTATTTAAAAGTATTAGGTCATGGTCATCCATGGAATCCATAATAGCTTTGCCCCGAGAATCTATGCGACTGCAAACCCAAAAAGTATGATGGTCGTTAAAATCGCCTGCAATTATCAACGGTTTTGGAATACTGTACAATAAACGATCGAACTTCGCCTTTTCAAAAGCAGGAAAACTATTACCAGGACTGTAAAAACTAACCAAAGAAATGCATTTATGTTTCAGTTTAATAACAATTACTTCATTTTGTAACGAATCATCATAAAAAGTATTTAGTTTAGAGAAATGTATGCCATTTTTAATTAATATTGCTACGCCATTATGATCATTACCGCAGTCATTCCTAATAATAGTATAACCACGTAAATTAAATTGAATATTAGGCTTGAGCCAAGTTTCTGAAATAAGAGCTACATGTATATTATTTTGGTATAAAAAAATTTGAAACTCAAGTCTGTTACTAAACAGACTTTGAGCGTTCCACTGTACAATATTTGGTGGTTGAATGTGACGATTTGCTATTTTTATCCTGGATGGTTTCTTTAATAGCTGAGCTAATAAATTGTGAACTAATACTTATATTTTGAGTTTTATTTAAAGTTATAACTTTTACTATAGATTCTGTTAATAGGGTCATTGCTTCAGAATTTGATAGTATTGCTTGGATAGTATTTTTGGGTATTTAATTTTTTAATAAGGGAGGGAAAATTTGATGAATATTTTAACGTGTCAGCATATGATTACTGTTTGCGATTTTCTTTTCCCTTATAGGGCACTGACTAGAGATGGCAATGTGATTGCCATTACAATTAATGCACTTAGGTTTTTCAATGTTAACCTTGCATTTTTTTGAAAGAATGCCCCTCTGTGCATATGGAGCATCGCGGTGAATTTTTACAAAACTTAGCCAGATGATCATAGCGTAAACATTTAAAACACTGTTTTATAGGTGGTACATATGTGGAGACAGGCAGCGCCACATCTTAATGTGAACATAGTCTGGCAGTGACGTAGCAGACGCAAAAGTTATTACTACGCTCTGAGTAGGTTGCAGTGTGAAGGTGTTATTTTCTCCTTTTACTTTACGCATTATGCGTCGGACAGAAAAGACTTTTTATTATTGTTGATATTGTTTTATATATTTTGTGATTGGATAGATGAGTGGGCACCAAAGAGATAACTCCCGATAGTTCGGTGGCCCCTGCTGGTATTGGAGGTTTAAGTCGTTGTTCCTTTAGATATGTAGTATTTTCTAAAAAGGCATTTGCCAAATTCGCACGTTGGAAAACAACACCGACCTTATATTTATTTATTTTTAAAAAATATTGTATTCCTTTCACAGAGCGTATAAAACTAGTACTAAGCGACATCATGTCCTTATTACCGAGTGGGACATCATTAGTACTTTCGACAAATACTATAAATTCAGACTTGGCTTCCGCATCTTCAGGGTATCGCCGACAATAATCAGCGACCCTAAAGGGAGCGAAGGCATTTGCATCCTGCAATACTGGCGAATCCTCGCAATCGAAATCGCTGCTTGTGCTGGAAGGCAAGGACTCACCCGAATCCATCTTTTTACGTTTTTTCACCATCTCTCCACATAAACACTTATATACAGACTAAGTTTTACTTCTTTACAATAAACTAAACAAAAATTTGCAAATTATACTATAAAATAATTAAAATTTTCAAAAAGCCCGCCTCAACGTTTCAATTCCCGCGCTCTTTCTCTAGTTACATACATAGATACCTAGATATCCTAGTATTTCACTTTTTACTCTGTTAATACCCAGCATGAATTACATACGATTTAATAATATTATTAGATAATATAAATTTAATAAAAGAATCCTATGCTGTTCAACGAGAGAACATATAAAATTATATTACTATACCAGAATTATTTTTATCATAATTCCTTCTAGTGTGTCCAATACCTAATAAAAAAATTGAATTTTTTAAATTGTGGTGAGAAAGTTATAATAGGAAGTTACGTCGATATTCATAATTTAAAAAAACTCCCGCTTAAATTTTGTTTTAGTTAACTCACACACTTTGGGTCATTGAACTGTACAAAGATTTATAAAATAGTTTATTAAATACAACAATGTCACTAGCGTCTAGCCCAGTAATGATATAATGCAGTCTATATAAACCATACAGTAATGGCTATTTATAGAAACTAGACCATCAAGAACGAGTCTCTTGTGAGAGTTATTTAGACTTAAATGCTGAGCCTAGTCAACGTGAGCCATAAATAAAAATAAAGCAATAGTTCCAGTTGTCGCTAACTCGATAAGATCTAGAACGTCTATCACATTTCTAAACACAACAAGACTAGATTGTTGTACTTAAAGAAAAAGGAATGTTTGATAACATAAATGCCGCATTGTAAATTAATTTATTTAACAAATATATTTAAGTTTTTGAGAACATCTCGATAGATACATTAACTCACTATTTTAAATTTATTTTTTCTATTGAAAAAACTTTGATATTCACAGTTTGATTCACTTAAAAAAAGTGAAATAAAAAAAAGTGATTTCAAATTAAGAAGTACATCGAAAATTAAATGAGAAAGAAAAACATTCCATCACATACTCTGAAACACTTTTTTTAAAACTAATTTTATATTGCAAATCTTTTAAAAACGCATTGTTTTTTAAAAATTCTAACAATTAAAGTAATAACAAAGTATCTCTTGCAATTTAAAAATATTATACAATTGAAATATTTTGTTAATATGATTAGATAATGTTCGTAAAAAAACAAGTTCAAAGGTGTATTGTCAAATAATTTATAATATATTTTCATATCATTTATTGTAATAACACAATGGATGTTTTTTTCTTTAAATGAATTGCATTTGTAATTTAATTTTCTTTATAATCGTATGATTAAATAAGATATTGATTATCAAATAATTTAGTTATTTTATATATGAGAACTCTAATCCTTTAATTTGTGTACGTCTCATAATGATAAAATAAATCGTTTGCGATAATAACGCCGTTTCTGACTAATCAACGTTATAAAATAATAAATATAGGTACATTTCTTTATGAATATTTTATTGTAAATACTAAAAGTTTAAAATTAAATAAATACTAATTGATGACATGTCATCCTGTCCCTCTTAAAACTTTAAACATTTCACGTTTTTTGCGCTTTCATTTATATTTATTTCGAAAAGTCTACGCATACATTTTTTTCAGTTCCTTCCTTAATATTTTTCCGGAGGTAGTCTTAGGGATGTCATCTACAAAGACCACTTCTTCGATTTTCTTGAATGACGCAACTTTATTGGCGACAAAGTCTTGTAGTTCTTCCGGTGATGTATTTTGACCACCTTTCTTTATTATAAAAGCTTTTGGTGCTTCACCGAAATACTCGTGTGGAACACCAATCACTGCAGCGTCAGCTACCGCAGGATGAGACCTTAAAAGGCCCTCCAATTCTGCCGGAGCTACTTGCATGCCTTTAACCTGTAAAATACGTTAGCAAATTTTTTTATATTTTTTGTGATAGTTCTATTCATTAACGGAAGTTATGGGTCTTCCATTACGAGTATAATTTTAGTGTTTTTTGACATACCTTTATAAGTTCTTTTATTCTATCAGTCACATAAAAGCCGTATTTAGGATCATAATGTCCCAAATCACCAGTTTTGAAAAATCCGTCCTCTGTCATACTTTCTTTTGTAGCTTTTTCATTTTTGTAATAACCTTTCATTACTGTTGGTGACCTCGTGCAAAATTCTCCAGGCTGGAAAAAAATAAAATATCGCTTTGCCAAAATGGAAAAAGAAATAGAAGTTTCGGAAGCTTTTATAAATTAAAAATATCATTGATATAGATATGTCAATAAAAATTACTGCCGTTTACCTCGCCAATAGGAACAGGCTTGCCATCACTACCAAGAAACATGATCTCTGTATTAGCAAGTGGCATCCCGCACGATGAGTAGTCTATATCAGTGGCTCCTATAAGAGTTGATGTTGTTAGCGATGTCGTTTCTGTTGCTCCATAACCTTGTTTAAATTCTAATTTGCCCTGTAAATTTTCACTATAGTTCTTAGCATTAAGTTACACTTGCTATATAAAACATCATTTTTAATTAAAAAGTAATTATTGAAACTTATGGTACCATTGAAAAATAAAGATTGCAGTATTTTTTACAAAATTTCCAAGGATGCTTATGATTGCGAAATAGTAACGAACAGAATAAATCTCTATATTTGTCTATTTGAAAGAATTACTCACATTGCTCTTTTCTAATACCGCATTTGCATCGGAAGCAGACAGAGGTGCCGCCCCACATACCATGAATTTAACATGTTTCAAGTGATCTTTTGTTACCTCAGGATGTTTTCCTAGGAGTATTGCTAAAATAGAAATGTTTATATTCGTAAAAAAATTGTTGCATGGAAATCATAAGTAATTTAAAATATATATTTATGATTTTAACCACGAAAATCCAACATCGGATTAGGGATTCCCCTTAAATTTTATAGGAAAAAATGAAAACTACACCCATATGTAATACTCACCAACAGGAGGAACTACATACAATATCGTCGGATTTTGATTCTTCAACACATCAAAATACGTATTTGCGGAAAACCTCGGTAGGGTAATCAATTTACAGCCCTTAACAAAATGTCCAAGTAAAGTTACAACCATCCCGTAAATGTGGAAGAATGGAAGGATGCATGGCACTACGTCTTGCTGATTACCTAAACAATAAAGGGCGTGGCCATTACGAAATATTTAAATATGCCTTAATTTATCAGTTACATTTAATGATTATAATATATTTATTTTAAAGTATAAATCGTTTCATGATCTTGTCATCAAGATGATAAGGAAAAAAGTACGTTGTTGATTATTTTTTTTTTTTTAATATCAAGCACATTAAACCCAAAATATATTTTTTAATTCTATTATAAAACCAAAATTTATAATCTGGTATTAGTAATATTTTCTACAATTACAATTTTTTGGGCTTGAAAAGGTTTGATAAAATAATTTCGATTTTGATGACCTTAGTACATAAATGTGGTTTTAATTTTTTGGACAATTAATACAAACACAATGTTAATAAAAAAAAGTATATATTGATATCTTACCATTAGTTAGAATGGGAAAGCAGTTTTCCTCTTTCGCCATTACTTCGAGTCCAGCGATAAGGTTTTTGTAGGTGATTTCGACCCCCTTTGGAAGTCCAGTGGTGCCACTGGAAAAAGGTATCAAAGCCACATCTTCTAAGTTTTTCTCCACTTTGTCAAGCAAGGCATAATCAACGTCATCTGTTTCAGCAATTTCAGTATATCTTATAGCGCCTTCTGGTACTGCTTTGTTAGGGTTATCAATAAGAACAATTTTGGCTTGACTCTTAGCCATTTTTAGAGCTTTCACAACAGTATCGTAACATTCTGGTATTGTAACGACTACTTTTGGCTCTGTAATGCTCATTTGATGACATATTTCAGCTGAAAAATTTTAATATTTTTTTTGTTAATCATTTAATTATTCTTAATTTACTTTCGTCCAAAAACGTGACTAGTTAAATTTATAAAAATTATACCTTCTTTATAAATTGGATTAACAGAGCTGAAAATACATCCTGCTTGAATAGTTCCCAGAGCCACAACAGGATATTCAGGTATGTTTGGTAATAATGAAATAACAATATCGTTAGGATTTAGGCCTAATTTCTTTCGAAGTGATGTAGCAAATACCGCCATATGTTTCATAATTTTTTTGTAAGTATATTTTTTCTTAGTAACAGCACATTCCTATAATAAAATAACAATAATTTTATTCATGTTAATAAAAAGTAACATAAAAATATTTTAAATGTTTTCTCGTTCAAGTATTTTTTTTTTCTTTGAACGAAAAAAAATATTTATATAACTTAATTCACGCGATGAAATATAAACAAGTAAGGTAAGTCCATAACTATGGATGAAAAAATCCAGTTATAACTATAACTCTCTTGAAACAGAATTTCTTTGATTGAATTATGTTGAAGCTGATAGTAAGTCTAACGAGTTACTTTTGTCAACCAGCTATTATTTATTAGACATCGTATTATTTTAAGCATAACAAAACTCATTACTATCATTACTTTTTACTTTTTTTTACTAAAAATAGCCAGATTATTTTACTAAAAACTAACCAGATTATTTTACAGAAAAATAACCAGAAACATTTTTTGTATCCCTTTAAAGTATCGCTTTAATTTTATAATTTTCTACAGTCGTATATAAGAAAGTAAAAATTGGAATTCACAATTATCTGAAGACAAATCTTATTTTACTTGAATCTCATTGTAGAATTGAGAATTTAATTCTTTTATTTCATGTAATTTAATGTAAAATATGAAGAAAAAACTTCTTATTAAGAACTTAATCCATTCCTACCAGTTACTAGTATTGATTACTTTAAAAGTATAAAATTTTATTGTATTAATTGAAATTACAGACTAATTAATTACAAATATTTATTAGCTTTGCACATCAAAACAGTTTAGAATAGATAAACTATTTAACCTTATCTAAATCTAACATCTTCGTCTTTATGGCTGTCTCGCATATCTGCACTTAAAGACAAAGTTCAATGACTACAAATGTATAAATAATATACAGATTATACGAAGAATACTATAGAGAAGATTAATTAGAACATACAGAGAAGGTAAATTTCCTAACTTGAATGTAGCAAAGAAAAAAATATCCATTGTATTGTATGTTCTTCTTCTACCTGGCAAATTCCCAGCTTTAGCCAGGGTCTGCTTTACATGTTGTGAATAGTTTTGGCTAATAGTTTTTACGACCGGCCGCCTGCCTGACATCAACCCTCTTTGGGAACTCATTAATCAGTGATATCTAAATACTCTTAGAAAGCACATATGACTCGGAAAAATCACATTTGTACTTGCCCGGGCCAGGATCGAACCCGCGCCCTCGTGCATGAGAGGCGGGCCTTTTAACCACTAGGTCACCACTGACTTATTGTATGTCAAATTGAACTAAATCTAGTTACCTTACTATCAAAAGTGGAGTAACGCCTACATTTTTATTATTTTTTTTATACTGGACTAAATCTTAATCTCTGAGCTTATCAGTTCGCCAAAGTTATATCATCTAATTGATACCACACTGACGCATTCAACAAAGGCTTGGTTCGCTTATCATTTTATCGGTCACTACTTTGTGAAGATTATAATTATAACATTCTTCATAAGGGGTTATCATAAAAAAATTATACGATTAAATTATTATTTCACTAATTTATCTTTCTTTTTCATCTGTATTCGCAATTTTTAACACGTGTAAGAGATATTTACATAATTAAATTTCTATAAAAGTAATATATAATATTACTAATAGGCGTAAAAATATATCGCTCTTTTTACTTCTAGATATTACTAAGAATTTAAGGTACAATTATAAAAGACTTAAAATAATAATTAACTTAGAATTCGTACTGTATTTACATAATTTAGCCGATACCTCTGGTACAATTCAAATAAATGCAATAATATCGATTTCGAGTAAATATCAGTATCCTAGCTAATAAAGACGAAGGTTACATCCGCATCACCTTGGCTGAGATGTTCCTTGTTATTTTTGCTTTTTATTTAGCATACGTTATGTAAACAATTCCGTGCATGTAATATGTCCATGAAAAAACTTACTAAATTATATGCACAATAGAATATACAGTAATGACAGTATTAAGATACATAGATTCGTAGTGCAACAAGTTAATGTGAGTATGTGAGTGTGTGTGTGTACACACGTGTGTGTGTGTGTATGTGGGCATGTGTGTGAACAACTAAGAATACAATAAACAGTGTAAAATTTTAAGTTGGTTCTGGTCTTAAAACCCAACAAAAAAGTACTTTAAGTTACCATGGAGACATTGTCAAACGATGCACCTTTATGATCGTATAAATTGCTTGACCTTATAAAACCTTGCTCTCAAGCTGACAAGGATTTAAAGCGTTTTATCATACATTGTCAACGTATAAAATTTTAATTTCCTCAAACAATAATCACCTTCAACTTGTTGTCACTTTTCTATGGCCGTAAATTTTATATTAACTTTATTATTGTTAAAAAATCGTATTCATATTAATTGATCAAATAATTATATAATATCTTACTCATAATTAACCCATAAATAAAAGTATAAGAAGTCCTATATTTTGAGGATTTTAATTTCTGTAATAAAAAAAGGTACTTTATACAACAATTTCACTCCCATAAATAAAAGTTTGAATAGAGCTATGTTAGGTGAAAATTCAAATATTTAGTTACTATTTTAATTTATATTTTCTCCAATATGAAAACTTACATTTCCCTCACATTAATATTGTTTATATAAAGATAAATATTTAATCTCTATACAGGTGTATATACGCGACAATCTGATAAAATCTATAAGATATTAGTCAACAACAACGGGTACAAAGGTTTTTGTAATAAATGAAAAGTGTGACATGCATAAATTTATCTATTGTTTTATTTAGATACGAAAAATTCAATTATAGTATATAAAAAAAATTATTCGTATAACAACTGATTAGTACCTATTGTTTTTGAAAACTGTCATAAAAAATATATTTATATATATACCTATTGTACCATTGCACTAAATTTATATGTAAAAAATTATTTTATTACAATTTCAGTAACAATGATTTAAATTTAAAAATCAAAAAGATCCAAGGGATTTTTAAAATAGACTTATATTCATGTATTTTGATGCTTTAGAGAAACAAAGTCGTAGGAAAACTTGAGTATTAAATTAACAAAATAAATGATAATATTATCTAGAGTGCCTAATCGTTTATATCCAAGCAAAAATACTTCAGTTTACTTATTGTTACTTATTATTATATTATTGAAAGACAACTTGTAGGTATATATAAAATATAAATAAGGAAAATAAATCAAAAAATATTTGAAATTTATAATAATTTTCATTAATATATTTAACGAATGTAAATAAAACTAAATTATCAGATTTAAATTTCATTGAAAGACGATACTTATATTAGAAGTTGGAGAAAGTATCATGAAAGTTCATAAGTTCACACCTCGCCCCCGGAAACGTAAGATTAATAGTCCAAATGTAAGATTTCCTAATGATATCTAAGGTTTTCGCTCTACCATAATTATCGTTAAATAAAACTAAAATTTTCTGATACACTACCTAAAGCGCTAAAATCCGAAACGCCTAGTTTCATTTAAATGTAATACAATGAGTATTAAATCACAAAATTAATTTTAATTGTAATAAATAGTACTTAGTTTATAAATCACAAAAAGATGCGCACCTTAAATGCTATTTTTGTAATTCCAGCAAATTCCGGTATGAGTTATATGAATAAATATAAATGGAAATAAATGAAACGGTAAATTGGTAAGTGTATTGTGCATACATTTGGCTTAGTAACAATAGAATCAAACTTACAATAGCAACATGGTCCTGAAATGATGACGAAAATAACCACAAACGATCCATTAACCTCATGTTCGGCATTGTTATATCAGATATAGGTGATTTAATAATATAATCATCATTCCTATATAAAATGCAACTTCTGGAGAATTTTCTTAATGTTCTTAAGTCTTTTATTTGACGTAAAACCAAATTTCGCGCCATCATTCGCGGTAAATGCATTTCAATCGCGGGCGACTGTCTGCACAGCGAAATATTAACTGAGTGTATCGCGACGAGCTAGCTGATAAAATATGCTAATTATGCTCATTACTATCTAAGCCGTTCGACCAATGTACTTTTGTAGAATAATTTTCGCAACTGATTTTGTAAATGACAGCATTTTAGTTAATTAGCATTACACAAATTCAAAGCAATATGGGAATATGCCAAAACAAGAAGTTCTAGACTTTATTAATACATTACATCAATCGCTGTATGAAAATCAAATCCCTAATTGTTTTGTACATTAGCGTTAGATTAAGACAGTTATAAAATAGAATGTAAAATTCGTATGCAATCAAAGTACATCCTAGGATCTATTATTAACAACTAAACCAACCGGTTTTATCATTACTGGAATTGCGTACAAGTGAATTTTCTCGTTACCTGTTCGGATAGTTTAGTGCAACTTGCATGACAACAAAATCAGACGAATTTACTATTTCTGTGTGTCAAATGATAACAAAATATGCTGTCTCATCATAGATAATCACAGCAATTTCTATAATATACAATTAATTGGATTATAGACTTATCTATAATCAATTTAATAAATTTTATACAGAAATTTAATTATCGCACAGGGATCATTACCGTCATCTAGTAATTAGTGAGGGAAATCCCCTATCAAAAACCAATGTACCTTGAATTAAATAAAAACTATTTTCTTTTTTATTGCTTTATTGTGATAACTTTTATATCCGCCAGATTATTAATATAAAGGAACCGATATTGAGGTGCAAAAATAGTGCAATTCTGTTTTATTACTAAAGCATTGTAGGGCTAATATTTCAATGGAATAAATTGCACAAATAAAAATTAATTTAAATGGAACAAATTGTAAATCTAAAAAGAAAAATTCATTCACATGAGCATTAGTTGAACCTGCAGACTTTAGGATTTCGCGTTCCTGTAATTTTACTAATGAAGCTATCGTGTATGCAACATTCCGGAGGTTGGAGGTTCGAAACCTACTCGTGTCAATAAATTTTTCTTTATATGTTATCTAATTTAAATTATATATTTTTTTCCCTCTATTTTGTAAGTTTTCAAAAGTTAGAGTGAACAAGCTGTCTCGATTGTGTGCTCACCATTTACGGGTTTTTCCTTCTATCATCGTGTAGAAGACAGTAAAGCAGTCTTCAATTGAAATAAAAAAAGATGCTAGCAAATTAAAAATTCCTTTTATATATCATCACTACAATTTTCTATTTTGCAGATGCTTCGTCGAATTATTATTGACCACTATATTTTTAATAAACGTAATTTATTTAGTCTTATCAGTTATCTAACTTTAGGACAAACTATATTTGTTATTTTTCTAAAATGTGACGAAGGAAAACTCTTTGCATTTTTTGCTGTATCGTTCCAATCGCTTTACTTATTATTTCATGGACTATTATATAAAAAATAAAAAGTGATACCTACTAAGATTACATTGTGTTTAATTTACTTCCGATAATTTAATTATAGTTTATGAAATAGTTAGTCTTAAGGAAATAATTTTCAAATAAATGACGATATAATTTACATTATTGTCTACATTTTTCTGTTTACAAGGTTTTTCATTGAATTACTTCAAATTATTCTAAGATTACATCAGTTAGTGTTCAAAAAGATAAATATGGCATTTATTTTCCTTCATAATTTTGTATTTATTTCTGATAAGATGACGACTTTTGTAATTTTCACTCAAAATAATATATATTTAACAAAATGGAAGGTATAGATGATACACAGTCTTTTTGTTTGTGAATTGTTTCCAGTTTTTATTTTAATTTATATACATATTTTATTTTCGTTTCAGTATAAACAAAGTAATTATTTAATATTTCTTAATATTATGACTTTGGATACGTCTTCCAGAGCACATCGTAATAAAGTATAATTGAACATGCAATTATCTTAATTTATTGTAAATTATATTGTTTTTCTATGAAATTAAAATATATAAATAAATAACTAATTACAAAAAATAGTAAGCATTGAAAACATAGACATTTCGAAGGTATACCATTTTTATATTTATTTTGATCGGCCATCTTAGGTCCTAGGTATAAGTACCAGTCTAAATGGAATTAATCGAAAAGTCTCGTAACAGTTACCTACTAGAAAAGAAAAAGTTTTGAAAGAGATGAAATATATAATGCAGTATTTACAAAAAAAAGAATATTATTTAAAATTAATATAACTACATAACTCATTAAATATTTTTACTCTTAGAAACGACGGCATTGCAATTTTAACCGCAAACGAAAATAAGTATGTTGATAGAATCTGTGAAGTGTGACGTAAGATTTGTTGATATTATTGTGTATTATTTTATATAAAAATAGACGCAAACAGCTGATAATGAATTAATTATAGTAAATAATAAAAAAATATGACTAATATTGCCTTATTAGTAATATTGCTTCAGAATATCTAAATAATTAAAATCTATGCAACCATCTTATCTATGAATTCTTGAACATATCAAAATAATTATATTAATAACCCAGTTATACCACAAAACAACATAGGAATTATTACGACTCACAATGTTTGTAACTTGTCATACATGTTCTCACTATTGTAAAGTCTATACCTAAAGTATCGGTGGTATACAGTTTTTCAAGCCCTTTATACATATTTACTTACGTGTTACTTTAGATTTTCGTTATGTTTTGTTTGAACATCCAGTCTAAGAAATCTAATACTTCTTAAATAATAAATTGATTAACTTTTAGAAATCTGTTTAAATGTCAGTAGGTTCATATGAACATAAATATTTATGACCGATTTTGTGCGTTAATAATGTTGATTTCAGAATTAAAGAGATCTGAAGAGATTTTACTTGCAGAAAGAATAATACCTATTTGCTTTATTCGTAAATAGATATAGGTACCTACTAAGTTAGTAATTGCAACGCCGAAAAGTTATAGTTCTTTTATTTGAATAGTAACAAAGTTTTGGAAGTGTATTTGACTTAAAGTCGCAGTATTTTGGCAGTAAATACCTATAACACGGTCCTAACTTTAAGAACTTCGAAACTTTGTAGAATCGATTATGTTTTATGTAAATAGTTAAACAATTTTGATTGTTAGTTTAAGGTTAAAGGTTGGTACAAAACTTTTAGTTTCGTGGTTAAAGAGAAACTAAATAACAAACTCTTCTATGTAGATAACATATTATGTCATTATATAGGCCGTGATTGATTAAATTGTTCACTGAAACAAGAATTATAATTTAATTGGGAAGGCTGAATAGAAATTCTATAAGAATTCTATAAGAAATATAAAAAAATCAACCTACAATATCCACAACTTCGCTGAAAAAAATGAAAGAGGTCAGAATAGTTTTTATTAAATCAAAGTTTAGACAGTTTTTGAAAATTGTTAAATCTTTAAGGATGAATTGGTTCAGGTCCCTAGGTTGATCAGTTGTTAGGTCAGGTTAATGTAAATTAGGTATTATTAATATTGTTAAAATAATAACAGTTATATTTACAATCCTTATTCAATCTTTTCTTTAAGTAAGTACGTAGAACAAATATGACAGTTAATCATCATCATCATCATCATTAGCCTGTCAGAACCCACAGCTGAGCAAAGGTCTTTCCTCACGTGGAGAACGTTTAAGCATTAATCACCACGCTTGTTCAAGATGGGTTGGCGATTTCAAACTTATAATTTGAAATTATAAATCCAGGTTTCCTCACAATGTTTTCCTTCGACGTCTGCCAGTGGTGTCTAAATACTCTTTGAAAGTATTTATGACTAAAAAAATCACATTATTATGCTTGCCAGGTTTTGAACCCGGTCCGTGCCCTCATGCATAAGGGGCGGGCCTTTAAACTCTAGGTCACCATGACACTTGCAAGTTATAGTAAAGAATACACTGACACTCAATTTCCCACCAATTTGAGGTTACAAAGTCCCCGTAACTAATATAAAACCTATTTTTCTAACGACTGTGCAAATATACAATCCTGTTGCGGAGTGTTACATCAACTATCCTAAACACAGGGTTGAGCACTATCGGCTCCGTCCCTGGTTATTTATATGTTCAGGAAAATGTTTACTAAATCATATTTATTTTATTATACATTAATTATATAAGAGCAATCATATTTATTTTATTATACATTAATTATATAAGAGCACAGAAGGTATCTTTTGAAGACATAGCAGGGAGCAGAGAAAAAATAGTATTTCAATAACAAGTCCAATGACAAGGTTAAGTACAATAACAAAAAGGTAAAAGTTTGAACCGTTTCAAAAAATAACGTGTAGTCAGACCCTAAACCTAAAAAATATTTTTTCATAATCATCGAAAGGATTTGGATTCTTAATAACTTGAAAAGTAAAACTTTAATAGGCTCCGAAAAAAAAAAACCGGATACTTAGTAGGGTAATAAAGCGTTTCACTCTGTAACCCATACTTAGGATAGTACATATTCTATAAATAGCACACACTCATACTCACATACTTTTCGTCTAGGACTTCTCTTCTAACTTTGTATAGGAATGTGAAATGATTTCTCTTCTGAATTGGCTCTGGGGATTACAACATAGGATTGTTCAAAACTCCACTGTAGAGTTAGCTTTTAATAAACAAGGCAGGCCACCAAGTGCCCAAAACGTATAATATGATCCTCATAACAGGGTAGATACTCTACTTGCTGATCACCTTTATGGCAAAAAAATAGCACATCTTGTGTCATATAAATACATAGTTATGGTTATTTGCAATATTGTCGTTGTAGAATTAATCTCACTAAACTGTCGTTATCATTTATTCACAGATAAGATGGAAAGATTCTTATTTAAAATCAATCTTTACATCAATATAATGAAGTAAAATTACTAAAATCTTAGTTCTGTATTTCTAAACCTAAAGAGAAACTTGATCTAAAATAGTCTGAGTAAGTGCTAGATACCAGTTTTAATATAAAGGGTTATACC